CCCCAAAACCCCAAAACCCCAAAACCCCAAAACCCCTTCTGTTAGAATATTTATTGAACTCTATTCCATAATGGCTAGTTTTCTAAAATCTCTCCTCCTTATAGAATGTATTTGCACCTTGTTTCTGCAAGTATGGTGTATCCAAACCCTCTTGATGATCTAAGCTATTCCCTCAACCAAGTCTAGAAAATATTTGAAAGAGATTTTCTTTATTATGCTGCTCATATTAATTGTCAAAGTCTTTGAAATCTTCTTTGTTCTTGTTTACCAACTTGAGCTTGGAGTCAGGGAGCTTGGAATGCTCAACAGGCTTTTCTGTGAACTCTTCATCAAAATTTTCCACTAATGTAAAGTTAAAATAAGTTAGAATATTGATATCTTTATTTAGAGTAATTTTATACTTTCTCCAGGCTAATTGCGTAACATGAGTTCCAAAGTCTTTCCGTATATTCTAATTGGATTGGGAAAAATTTGAAGCCGGTTCTCAGAAAATTCTTCTTGCTTTTATTTATATTCATATGTGATACAAATTAGCAAATATTTGACAAATATTGATAAGATAAGCATACAGGCTTAATTCATGTTGAGAAAAGCTTTGTATTTTTGGAATATTATCATAATTAATAAGAGGAAGTTTACATTCTAAATCCTCATCATTTAAATAAGAGCACTTAAAATTAAAATTTCAAACTGTCAAATTGTGTCAGAATTTTGAGATAATTTCACTCGAAATAGAATCATTAATCAATCTCGATTCCGAAATAAAAATGAAAATAAAGAAGGAAATATTGAGCATTCGTGGCTGAAATTCGACTATAAGAGACTTACCCAGATTATCTGAGAGCTTTGGAATCAGAGGGGCATCAAGCTCTTTGCTAACTAATTTTTCAAAGTCAAAGCCTTCGAAGAATGGATGACTACAAATTTCTGCATGTCCTCCTTCTGTACCGATTCTCTTATCAGGGTCCTTTTCAAGAAGCTTTGAAATTAGATCCTTTACTTCTTCACTCATTGGGATCTTATGTTTTACTGGATCAGGGAATTTTACTGGGAATTTCTCTATAAGCTCATACATTGTCTGCTGATTAGAGTGGTAAAAAGGTGGAAATCCAACAATCATCTCATAAAGGAGAATTCCGATAGACCACCAATCTACTGCATGATTATGTCCTTTACTTTGGATGATCTCTGGAGCCAAATATTCTGGAGTTCCACAGAAAGAGGTTGTAAAATCTCTGTTTGTCATTTCTTTTGCAAGTCCAAAATCAGCAAGATTTAAATAACCATCCTCTCCCATTAATATATTCTCTGGCTTAATGTCTCTATAAATGATTTTTTGATCATGCAGATGTCCAATTGCAGAAATAATTTGTGCAGCATAAAACTTTGCTCTCTCCTCTGGAAATCTCTTCTCGTTTTGGAGATGAGTAAATAGTTCTCCTCCTCTAACAAAGTTCATCACGAAATAAATTTTTTGATCAGTTTGGAAAATATAGGCCATTTTTACAAAGAACGGATGATTGGCTTTTAATAATATCTCTTTCTCTAACTTAGTGCTTTCGACTTGGTCATTTTCCAATATGACATCTTTTCTCAAGCTTTTCATTGCGTACAACTTGTGGGTGTCCTTCTTTTCGACCAAAAAGACTTTGCCAAAGCTGCCCTGCCCAATGATCTTCTTGCAGATGAAGTCTTCCAGACAAACTTCTTCTCCCTTCTTTGCGCTGTACAGAGTGGTACGGCTTTTCTTGGGAGCGCTAGAGGCCTTGGTTTCTTCTGTTGGTTCGGAGTAGCCACCGAAGCCGGAAGCAGCTGGGTCCGTCAGCACGTCCTCGCTCTTCAAACGACAAGAATCATCTGGGATTCTTCAGATTTGCTTTTTAGCATCAGCTTTGACTGTATGGTATTCTTTCAGATCTTCTTCGGTAACTCCATAAATTGGTAGATTCTCTTTTGTTATTTTAGCATAATTTTCTTTAATAACGCTAAAAATCTGGTCTCTGATCTTCAACTTGTCACATTTAAATCTATAATCTGACTCCGAAGAAACATGTATAACAAACTCAATGTTCTTTTCAGAGTTATTCTTTGTCATTGCAGTAATGTAGGATATTCCAATGGCTCTTTTGACTTTCTTCTTATCCAAATTGTAGACTCTCTTATTGGTAATTCAAATTGATCTGCCCTGTGTCCTCCCATAATCATTGACTTTATTAATCTTGCTTGAGAAAAAGACGCTTTCATCAGCATCAAATTCATTAGTAATCTTAGTCTCCTTGGAGATTTTAAGGTAGTCCATTTTTATTATTATTAAATAGAAGGTTCCACTTCCTAATTATAATCCGGGGTTTTGGGGTTTTGGGGTTTTGGGGTTTTGGGG